AGTTTTGTTTATTTTTGTTTGTTAGAAAGGAGAGCTCACTTGGTGGTGGTGGTGGTGACAGCATTTTGGGGAAGGACTGTGATATAAAAACAAAACATGTCATTAAATTTTTTCCTAATGAAAGAGTGAGGATATAGACCCCAAAGAAATAATCAAAAGAGAAAAATAAACATTCAATACAAACCAATGTTTTAAAAGAAGTACTCTTTACTCTTTATGGTAGGGAATATTAAAAAAAAATTGGAAACAAAGTTGGTGCCCATGGATTCGGGAATGGGCTTAAAAATAAAACAATCTATGGTAGATGAATATAACACAATATTATGGTGTAATAAGAAATAACAACTAGGAAAAATTCAGAAAAAATGAGAAGATTTGTATGAACTGGAAGAATCAATAGGAAAATGTATGCAATGTACAGCAATATGAAATTTGAAAATCATGGATAGGAAGTTAGACTCTGGGTAAAGAAGAGAGGGATTAAAATCTGGGGTCAAGTTTTGTTCATTAGGGCTGATTTAATTGTGAGGGGGTGGGGAAGTTTAAAAAATGATTCTGATGTAAAGACAAAAGACACCAATTAAATAAACATTTAAAATGAGGAGATTACAGTAGGTTATCTATCTCTCAGGCCTATTCTGACTCCATATCCTATGACTCTAGAGCTCTGTAGGCTTGCCTTCACTGCAGGTATATGCCATGATTTCTTTTTTTTTTTTTCTCTCTTTGTTCTTGCTTACTTGCTTATCCTCTTTTCCTGAATGTTCTGGTTTAAATCATGCAGGGGAGAAAATATCCACCAGTGGAACCAATATGCAAATAAGGCCTTTTAGCAGAGATGGAGATTTCAGAGGAACAATTCTCCCCTAAAGTACCTAGGAACTAGCATAGTGATTGTTAAATTCTTGTAGTTCCTAAGTCCTTTTTCCTCCTGGTTCTTTATTTACCCTAATTATCTTAACTTTCTTCTTCTCTCCTATCCTTTATTCCTTTAGTCTTCTTTTTCTTCACCTTTTCTCTATTTCTTTATCCTTTTGCTTTTCCAATACTTATCTTCCTTGATTATTTCTCTACCCTGCTCTCCTCTTCCCTCCTCTCACAGACATACACCTCCCCCCCACACACAGAATAATATTGGAAAAGCAATCAGTGTCACCACTAAATTAAAAGTAAATGGAGATCTTCTAAGAAGTTATTTAGGTTGTATACAGAAATATCTATCAAGGCAAATTACATTTCTTCTTCCAACCCTCTTTAAACAAGTTAATAACATTCTCAACTAGTAATCACTCATATTTCAATGCAGTTTTTTTCTTTAAGCCATCAAAGATATGGCTATAAAACGTGAAAACTACTCTTCTATGAGGCAAAGATGAAATCTAGCTTCTCACAGAGTACCAAGTTTATGATTTTATTTTGTGTTCATGTAGAAATTTCCAAAATGCTCACTAAGCTCACTAAATCAAAATGCAAACAACTTCACAGTTAGAAATGCAAAGGAATGATTTATGAATATAAATTTAAACATGTTCACATTTCCCCACTTTGAAATAAACCTGAGGTAAAATCATCAAAGCAGTCATAAATAAAAGTTGTCTTGACCTCTGTTTGACAACTATTTTCCCTTGGCATTCTATAAGGAAACTATTAGTCTCCATCCATAATGCACTTTTTATAGGCCAAAGATCCCATTCAGAAACGAATTACTCTTTGGAGTCATGTTGGGGCTCTACAGAGGGTATTGAACAAATCTAGAGAACTACTTTAAGATACTCTTCTCAAGGTGAGAGAGAAAAAATGAGATAAAAGCATAGAGGGAAAAAAAAACAGTCCCTGAAAGGAGGCCAGGGATAGGTGGGGAGTATCTTTTTTTCCTCCTCAATGCTGGGTATTGTTTGGTTTTGGGTTTTTTTTGTGGTTAAAGCTAAGAAAAGATTCAGAGTGGTTTGTTGAAGAAAAATGTGGCCACTCATTACAGATCAGTCAAAAACCAAGTTATTCTGAGTGAATCAAAATGTCCTCATATCCCTGTTTGAGAGGAAGAAAGGATATGAAGGAGTTTGAGGATAAATGAAAAGTAGGATAATTCCAGGGTTGTGCTGGAGGTAGCTCATAGTGGCTCTTATGCTGATTATTAAATTTCTGATGTAAACATTTATACCTCTGAAATTGTCAAGTACCATGAATCAGGGCATGATTTACTGTTTTGTTGATTGTCTAGATTTAAGAAAGTGATGGAGAAAACTGTTAATAATATGTGTCATGGGTACATTTTTCCCCTCAACAAGTTTGTAGTTAAGTAATTGTCAGCACACCCCTGTGTAAATTCCAGATGCATTTACCCTTCTACTTTCAACTTCCCCTCCTGCTAAACCACATTGGGATTATTTGCCCATCTCTTCTCTATTCACTGACATTTAATTGTGTAGTAACTTTCTGGCTAGGAGGAAATGATATTTTATTTTTTATTTAATGTGGTTAGTTGACCAATCTTGATATAGGCTAGTTTCAGAAAAATTAAGCCAACCATTTCCTGTGATTTTCAACATACTGATTCTTCCCTTGAAATATACTTCACATATTTGCATGTTGTAATTATATTTTAAAATATGTATGCCTCTTGGTTTCTGGTTTGAACCAGATAAGGTGTCATGGTGTAGAAGATTTCAAAAACATTATATCCAAACCCTCTTGGCCCTTGGAGAGTACTTGTTTACTTTTAGTACACACAATTAGCTACACAATTATCCCAGCTCATCTTCCACCTGTGGATTTTAATTAAACAGTGGCCAACCATAAAGAGATATACTTAATACACAGTCTTCTTTTACGGTGAGTAAGATCTATCATAATGCATGCCTGGAGACAGTCCTAAAGTCATGTCTAGTTTCCAATATTCCTTCTTTCTCAATTAATTAAATCTCCAATACTTAAAATAATTTATGCCATCTTCTCATCTATCCCAGAATGAAGTTTATCATTCTTGCAGAATATTAATATCATCTATGCTGAGTAGTTGTGGGTAGAATCAGGTACTCTGCACATAAGATCCATATTGGGATAGGGCTTAAGTTAGGTTGCTGAAGTGGTGGCCATGTGGTACTGGCAACAGGCCATTTCACTGGAATCAACAGAGAAGGGGAGAAATGTAAGGGAGGCAGTGTCTATTTAACACTTCCCTACTACTGGTACAGGCTTATTGCCACTGCTGTTACTGTTGTTCATTTTTCTTCTCTTTCGCATGATCAGGAATTTGGTTAAGGCTCCTCAGCCATGAGATGATTACAGACAGAATTAGTGACAAAAGTAGCCATGGTAGTGGTGGAAGGGGTAGTTTATGGGAGGTAGGTATTGAGAAGAAACAAAAGTTGACCCCAGCTTCCCTCTACTAGTCAATCCATACATTCTGGGATTAACAGTGAAGTTCTGCCAGCTACTCTGGGGGAAAATGGTAACTGTTAATGCAAGGAATCAGGAAGTTGGCTCAAACTCTCTTTGTATAAATTACAAAAAAAAATGCTGTTCTGAACCAGCTATCTCCACAACAGGGCAGCAAGCTACTATATGGAATCGCTTGCTCTTGTCTATTAAGGCGATTTGGCTAATATTACCCTTTTATAAAAAAAAAATTATTTTTTTCTGAACTTAAGAAATAAAACAAGCATTTCCATGACATAGAATAGAAGAAAAGATGATTGTATATGAAACTGCAAATCTATTATATACAACTTGCTATTCCTTTAAAATATATAACAAAGTTATCATGTTACTTTCTTTTTTTCCTTTTTTTCTTCCCGTACTCCCCACCCTAGAGATAGCTAACTGGAAGAGTTTATTCAGTTTACTCATTACTAACATTGTACTACAGATTCAAGTCTAAGAAAGTTAAACCTCCTGTTACTTGCAAAAAGATTAAGGTGAACTAATACCATCCAAGGAGTAGTTCTCCATATCTCCGAGTGTCCAGAGACCACATAGCTAATAAAAGAAACAAGCAACTTCAGAAAAAAGAAAGGAGTTATTGGCCATACTTACAGAAACCTCAGCAAGATACCATTAATAAAAATCTAGAAACTACGTTTCCAGAAGATGGCTGAAAATTTCTTCCTGCCCAATGATCACCTCCTCACACTGTCTGCAATAGACTTTGCAGCACTCTCTGGATTATCTGGCAAGATGTCAACTGCTGGATTCATAGTTTTCCTCCTTCACTTAGGCTTCAACAAATGTTTCAAACCATCTGAGCATTTGATAGATCTGTGCTTTATTTCCTTTTCCAGTCTCATTCCCAAAGGAGATAATGAAAAGGGCTCAAATGGGGAGGGAGGGCGAGGAATAAAAGGAGGCAAAAAAGGATGGGAAAATGAAAATTTTTCAAATCCCCTGCAAAGTGGAAAGTACAAGATGCTGGATAACCGAGAAATGACCATTGGCACAATCCTGTTAGATCTACAAGTCAAGTCCTCCCACTTCACTTTCACAGCTAAAAAAAAATCGCCTTGGGCTTAGAACCAAAAGAATATTCTAGTAAGCAGCACCTCAAAGTGCTATAGGCCAGATTATTACACACATGAATGTAATTACATCTTTTCCTTTGACTCTAATTATACCATAATTAATCTCTCCTTGATTTCAAATTCATTTTGCCTTAGTGAACAGTGCCTACTATTTCTAGATACTTATTCCCACATGGTAATTTCTCTATTAGTTCTAATTTGCTTGGCATTTTTTCTGTTGAATTACATTTGCCCAGAATATTTTTTTCCAGTAATGGTACAATATTCCCAGTTACTTGTCATCATTCATCAATATGTCTTCAACTTCCTCAGGAATATTACCAGAATTGGTCCTCCTCAAAGAATTGTCATGCTATGCACAAATCATCCTTTTTTCTCTTTATAGGACATACATTACTCAGTGAACAAAACTTTTATAAACACATCACTAAAATACTTTTTTTTCCCAAATAGAACTGGGAACTTCTTCCCATTGGCACTTACCTACTGGACTCTGCAGATGTGATGGCAATCAGTGGAAGAATCTTCAGTGGAAGACTGGTGGGCCTTTGTAGGTTCTCTGATTCACTTTTTAAGTCTGCTTGCTCCAGCTGTCTGAAAGCCAGCGGAGGAAGCTGGACATTACGACAGGAGAGTCTCCTTACTAGGTAAGGCTCCATTCCTCGGAATGGATCTTCCCCCTCAGTGCTCGAGTGCAATGTTTCCTCAGATGCCTGCAGAAGTCCAGAGGAATAGACTTGGTCAACAATTGTTTCCTATGTTTCTTATGGATTATTAACATAGTAATTTGAGAGGGAAACAAAGGAAGTTGATTTTCTTTAACATGTAAACACCTAACTCTAAAGAGGAAGTGGAAATAGATTTAGGAGAGGAACTTTAGATTTAAATGCAGAATGGTAGGTGTACTAGCTGAGATTTGAAAAGATACAAGAAAGATGATGATCTGACTGAATGATATTAAAATCAAGCTTCAATTTTCCAGAAATTTTCTGTATAAAATAACAAAAGAAATAAAGGATGATGGAGGAATTATGCTGAATATACATTAGATAGATAATTACTGAAATAACAGCACATATGCAAATAGAAGTTGTATCTAAATTGATAGTAGATACACATGTCAGTAACAAGTAGTTAATTTTACACACACACACACACACACACACACAGAGACACACAGACACACACACCTCTAAGTGGTACAGTGAATAGAATACTGGATTTGGAGTCAGAAAAATCCGCGTTCAAATCTGACCTCAGATACTTAATAACTGTGTGACCCTAAGCCTGGCATTAACCTATCATTGTCAGTTTTTTCATCTCTAAAAATGATGATAATAATAACAACACCTACCTCCCTAGTTGTGAGGATAAAATGAGATTATATATATGTATATATATAATATATATATTATATATATAGATCACTATGCAAATATGAATTATTATATATTATTACATATTTTTATGTAACTGGTTTTTCATTAACCCAGTGAAGTAGATAGAGGAAGTATTATTACTCTCATTTTACACATGAAGAAACTAAAACCCAATGTAGTGGTGTGACCTGATCAGTCATGACTCACGGATAAAATAACTCACTATCAGCTCCTAGTATCACACCCAGAGCTCTAACTCCAAATGTGGTATTCTTTTCACCATATTTAGCATATACTATGTGTAGAGCACTGTGATAAGGACTGAGACAGAAACAAAAATGCATAAGAAGGGCCTTAACCTAAGAAACTTGTAATCTAAGATAGGAGATAGGGCATTTTCACTAATCAATTCAATTCAATTTATCCAGGACATATTACATATCAAGTGCTAAGACAGGTACTGTACTCAGTCCTGGGGACATCTACACAAAAAATAAACTACTCCTATTCTCAAGGAGCTTACATTCCTTTTTTTTGGGGGGGGGCAAACGATGAGTATTTATATAAATATATGCAAAATAAATATAAAGACATTTCCCACAAAGGAAAAGAAGACAGCATCTGGAGAATTATGACAGGCCTCATGTAGAAGATATGAAGCTAAACCCTGAAGGAAGTTTGGGTACTTGAGCTAAGTCATAAAAAACCTATTGATTTTATGAGGAAATGAAGGGAGGGCATTCCAGGTATGGATGGGGAGGGAGGATGGGAGGAGACAGCTATCGCAAAGGCTTGGAGACAAGAGATGGAATGTTACATGTAGGAGTATCAAGGCCAGCTTGGCTGGAATGTAACATGAAAAATAATGCTCAACAAGCCTAGAAAGGCAATGTGGAGCCATGTCATGGAAGGCTTTAAATGCCAAACAGAGAAATTTATATTTACTATCAGAAGGAATTGAAAATCACTTTAGTTTCTTAAGCAGGTGAGTGATATAGTTATACCTGTGCTTTAAGAATATGACTTTGGCAAATGTGTGGGAAGACATATTAGAAAGGGTAGAAATTGGAGGTAGAGAGACATTGAAGGCTACTAATACAGTTCAGGCAAGAGACAATGAGGGCTTGAGCTAGGGTGGTGACTGTGTAAAGAAAGTAAAAAAGATGGATATAAGAGATATTATGAACATAGGTAAGTAGGCATCTGATTGAATGGGAGGAGTAAAGGGAGAAGGAAGAGCTGGGTATGAGTCTGAGGTTGATAACAAGGATGCCTTGAAGGATCAAGGTACCCACAAGAGAAGTTAAGAAGAGGGAAGAGTTTGGGGGGATGGGAAAGATAAGAAAATATAACATAAAAGGGTATGGAAGAAAACAGTGATACAAAGACAATTTTATTAGAATTAGAATGAAAGGGGTAATCATTTTCAGCTAGGGGAATATGGAAGACTTTATGGAGGAGGTGGCATTTGATCTGAGTATTGAAGGATTTCAACTGGAAGAAGTACAAGAGAAGGTATTCCATACCTTATGGCCTGATATGTGGTATAATGAGAGCAAAAGACACAAAGGTAAGACATTCTGGGATGCATCTGGACAAGGGTAAATAGTCTAGTTTGGGTAGAGAATAGGGAGTTGGATGTTAGGGTAGTGAAATGAAAATAGAATGGTACATTGGAGCTCCATTGTTATGGACCTTAACAGTAGGCTAAGAAATCTGGACTTTATTCAGTAAGTAATGGGGAACCATTGAAGTTATTACTTGTGCTTTTCATTTTCATGTAAAGGGTAATATGATCACAGCTATATCTTAGGATGTATAATCTGACAGCAGTATGTAGGATCAACTGGAAGTGAGATTGAACACCGAGAGACTACTGTAAGAGTTTCGATGAGAGGTGGCAATAGTTTGAGCTAGTGGAAATGGTAAAGATACAATGTCTGTTGCCTAAATGTAAGTGATCTGATGGCCACTGATAGGATTTTTGAGATGAAAAAGATGAATGATGCAGAGATAATTTTTAAGGTTTTAAGTTTGGGTAGATAGGAGAATGAATGGAGAATGAACTGACTGTAATGGGAAAGTAAGGAGAAAAAGAGAATTGTTTTGGAAAAAATAAAACCTATATAGAGAAATGAACTACAAACATACATATCTATATACATGTAAAAAATCTCTCTCTCTTTATACACACACACAGAGACACACACACACATATATATACATACACATATATATGTATGTATATATACACACATATAACCTTGATAGTGAATTTCTTTTTCCAAACTGCTAATTTACTCATTTGTGATTTATGTGCTTTTGAAAGTAGAAAAGATTTGGTTACAGTAGGCCAAAAACAATTCTGCAGGCAAAGATGAAGTGGGAGGCAACATAGTACACAAAGAAAGGGCAGTGTACTTAATGTTAGAGGGACTGGATTCAAATTCCAGCTCTACCATTTAGTTCCTTCTTTTCTTCCAACTTTAGTCCCACTTTCTTCATCTATTTAAAAATAAACATGGGATTGGACTAGATGATTCCCAAGGTGCTTTCCAGCTCTACATTCCGTTATCCTATGAAACACATTTTAATGTTGTGATAGTGAGATCTGATAAGGTTCACTAAGATTCTTAATAAATTTTTGTTGTTCAGTCATTTCAGTCGTGTCAGACTCTTCATAACCCCATTTGGGGTTTTCTTGGCAAAGATACTGGTGCAGTTTGGCATTCTCTTCTCCAGTTCATTTTACAGATGAGGAAACTGAGGCAGACAGGGTGAAGTGATTTGCCAAGGGTCACACAGGTACCAAGTGTCTGAGGCCACATTTGAATTCAGTCTTGCTGACTCCAGGTCTGTCACTCTATCCACTGTGCTACCTACCTGCCCCTTAATGAATAATGAACTTACTACTAATAAAATATTTTCTTTCTGACTGCTAAAAAAGACAGAATCCAGGAGATATTCTGTGAAGTGAGAGATATGGATTAACAGAGGAAAGAACATACCCAAAGGTAAGACTCTTGTCTTTCAGTTGAGAAAAGGAGTTCCAGTGTGTTTGCAAAGGGAATCTGACCCATGCTTTAGAACATCAGTACTCCTGTGGATGCACCCAACTTGCATTTCACACAGCTTATATTTTACTTTACACATTTCAGGAGAAAAATTAATGACTTAGGCCTGCAGACACAGTTTTTCTAAATGAACCAGAATAAAAGGCCCTTTGTTGACAAATAAGGAATCAGTATAGCAAAGCACCCAAAACAATAAAAAAAAAAACCTGGCAATGACATCCTCATATCTTTATCCAAGAACTTATGGACCATGAGCATAGACAATATAAAACTGCAGCAAAGGTACTTTATATAAAACAAATACCAGGAAGAAAGGTTAAATAACTTTTATTTCTATTGACAGAACAGCCTCCAAAGTCAGTTATTCAACTTCTTGTACGAGAACTAATTCTATTAAAATGCATAAACACATGAGTCAGCTTAAACAAATAATTCTTACCAATTTAATTTTCTATATTAGAAAAAAATAAGAAAATAAATGTTCATATCCTAACATTTTCCATCTGAAGGAAGACAATCACTGAATCACAGAATCTCAGAGAGACCTCAGAGGCAAACAATCAATTAGTCAACAAATTTGGACCTATCCTTTGGACCAGGCACTGTGATAAATGCTGGGGATTCATAAAGAATTCCTACTTCCAAGGATCTTACATTCCATTGAGGGAGACATTAAAAATGCCCATCAATTGGGGAGTGACTGAACATGTTGTGGTATATGATTGTGATGGAACACTATTGTGCTACAAGAAATGATGAGCTCAGTGATCTTAGTAAAACATGGATAGACTTGCACAAAATAATGAAATGGAATGAGCAGAACCAAGAGAACCTTGTATTCAGTAATAGCAACATTGTTTTAAGAACAATGTTGAGTGAATAAGTCATTTTGACTATTATAAATACCCAAATTAACTACAAAGGACATATTAAGGAAGATAGCATCTGCATCCAGAGAAGGAACTGATAAATAGAAGTATGTATAGAACAATTTTACATGTATATATACACATATGTGTCTAATGGTAGCCATCTCTAGGGTGGGAGGAAGAGGGAAGAAAATTAGAAAAATAAATAAATTTACATGATAACTATTATATATTTAAATGGAATAGCAAATTGAACATAATAGATTTGAAGTTTTATACACAATCATATTTTTATTATACTATGTTATGAAAATTCTTGCTTTATTCCATAAATTAAAGATAAGATGAATAACAATTAAAAAATAATCACAAAGAAGTTAAATACAGGGTA